CCCCCCCCCAAACCTCGTTTTAAAATTATCTTGGATGCGAGGTTTATATGGCAATACGAAACAATTGTTACACATTCCATCAAGAATAAGTCTGATTCCTTCAAAATGTGGTTGTAAGCGAGAATAGACATTGGATAATTATGTTTCTTCCACGTGAATTTACAAATTTTATTAGCCAAGTATTCGCACAACTAGTGCATCATCAGGCGAGCGAGACAGGTATATTTTGATATTAGCCTGGCATGCAAAATAATGTTGAGAAGGAACTTCGATATGTCAGTAGATGATGGAATCTAGATGCGGGCAGGAGTTCTTAATCAAGACGTGAGTGTAATGATCATGTGATGTCACTACTGTGATGTCACAGGGGTCCATGGTCGAACAACTTCCCTGTCACATGTTACGCCGCACAGGCGCGCACAAGGTGTTCATAATCGTATCTTTACCCTGGCTTGCAGAAGTACAGCCATTCGCATTCTTTTTGCTGTTCGAGCTTCTTCCAGTTCGTTTTCCAAGTCTTCTCGTAGAAACAGCTAAAAACAACAACATATTCTTTTAGTCAAAGCCTTTAACCCTCGTGCAATTCTTCCTTATCACATCGTAATACTACTAGAATCCTTTTCATAGTTCCTTTGTTAGCTAATCAACGCCATTCATTGTTTCGACTGTCCTTAGTTACCGTTGCTATGTCCCACAAGCTTAACAAATCAGCTAGAACATTTCAAAATTCAAAACTCTGATCGCTGGAAAACTGATAAATTGTTTCAACAGACCGTTTTCTCATGGTTGTGCTCTCATTCAAATTTAAGGAACTTGACGGGCCACGATACCAGAACAGGAGCTTTATAATGAGAGTTATCAAACATTCCCATGAGATTTTTCGATAAGAATTCATAAAGTCGATTATTCTCCTCTTTAAATATGAAACTGGCTTCTCAATTTTATTAAATTTGCGTTTTTCAGTTTTGTGGCCCGTCAAGATTGGATGCGCACGCAACCTTGAGAAAACGGTCTATAGCTTACTGTCCTTTGAAAATAAAATAAAATTGCCTCGTCATCCTTGTAGTACTCTTTAAAACAGATACTGTGTAGTTGTTTGTGGGACAAGATTACAATTTCACTGGGAAAACTGCTGCACGGTGATTGGTTCGCTACTGCCTGAGTTGGAACTATGAATGATTACCTATGACTCCCAAAGAAGTTAAAACATTTGAAAAGAATTTGAAGATGACCTTGGTAGTATTGGATAAAGATGTGATGCGGAGAATCAAAGTTGAACGTACCTTACTGTGACCAAACTGATATTTGTTTTTGTTGGCTTGCATGAAGTTCAAGATGATTCCACAGTTCTGTTGAGCTGTTGCACCAGAAAGTACTAACTGATTAGAGAGACAGCGATACCTGTAACACAGTGAGACAAAAAAACCTGTTAGGGATAGTGTAGGGCAAATACTGACAACTTTCTAAGAAAGGATGAGGCAAGTAGTGACCTTTCTAGGGTAGGATGGGACATACCACTGGTTTTGAAGACCACAGACTCATTTGCACACGCTTAGCCTCGTTTATAAGTCAGGTATTCACAGATACCGTGGGATTTCAAAACATTGGTATTGTTCAAGCTGCACATTCTTTACATGACAGTTAACTTTTGCAAATGATTAGCTCTTAATCGAGGCTGCAGATGAGTCTTCAGACATAAAACACAGTGGTAATTACAGAAAAGGAGCTATTGGTGGCCATTGGAAGGGAAAATTGAGCATACCTTTTGACAAAGTCTTGATAAACGATACGCACTGGGTAGCCATTCTTACGTATTTTGACAGTCTCAAGGACGCCACAGTATCTGAGTTGTTGGAGAACTGTCTCATTAATGAAGGTACTGGGTGCCTAAACAAAACAACATGGATTAGTATCTGAATGTCATGGACAGAGGACCAAACACCATGGATATTAGTACTATATGTGGTACCTTGTCTGGGTTGGGTTTAATGCAGCGAATGAAGAATGGGTTGCACCTGAAAATACAATGACAGTGACATCAACTTCTCCAACTAAACAAAGGATGATGACGTTGAGAGCAATGATGATAATGACAATGATGATAAAAGTGATTATGATGATGATGGTAATATTGATGGTGATGGTGGTGATAATGATGGTGATGGGGATGATGATGATGATGATTATGTTTATGGTGATGGGGATAATGATGATAGTGATAATGTTGATGGCGATGATTATACTAGCGACAATAGTAATAGTGATGATGATGGTGATATTGATGGGGATAATGATGATAGTGATAATGTTGATGGCGATGATTATGCTAATGATGTTAGTAATAGTGATGATGGTGATATTGATGGTGATGATGGTGATGGTGATATTGATGGTGATGATGGTAATGATGACGATACTGATGATATTAGTGATAGTGATGGTGATGACATGGTGGTGAGCGTGGTGATGATTATATTGATGGAGATGATAACAATAGACATTGCTACATCATGTCTCAGTCCTCATTACTTTTTCATTGCCACAACCAATCTAATGAGAGAGTCGTTGAACTTGGCACAAACAGTGTTCTTGGGCACACTGTTAGAAGGAGCCTTGAGAGAATTCACCCTGCTGTTGTGGCCCAGTTTTAGTCCACCAATCTGCATTTCCTTATTTCCCATCAGATCTGGAATCAGATCCTTGATAAACTACAACAGATGAATCAAGATAATATTAATTAGATGTTTAGATCCTGGTAAAAGACTAATAGTCTGCCAACATGAATATTCTTCCAGTTATAACACCACCACCCTGTTATAAGCCAACCTCTGGTATCTCTTATTCATGGCATTGATAACACGAAATATTGTTTTGGAAAATGAAAAAAAAAAGTTTTCTCTTCTTCACTCATTTCCCTTGCTGTTATAAGTCCCCCCCCCCCCACCCCACCCCCATGAGAAGCTGGTTTATCTCACCTCTGAACGACACTTGCACAACAGAACTGTTAAGTCTTGTTTTAATCCATCTCTATTCTTGTCCAGGAAGCCACGGACCTGATTAATACAATAAACAAAGTTAAACACTAAGATGGTGGAGCATTGGTTTGTTGTGCAGGAGGTTGTGGTTCAAGTCCTGGCCAGACCAACACTTAGGTTCTTAAAATAGCTGAGTAGAAGGTGCTGCATATATACTTATATCTGCAAATGGTTAGACCTTCAAGTGAAATCAAACAGCAGTCCTATCTCTCCACCTACCATACCCTGCATTGAGGAATGTATAAAAACCACTGAGAATGTCCAGAGACCCCGGCAGTGACCTTGGTCAATGTCTGGCCTTTGCTAATGACATACTATTATCAACTAAACTAGTATGTTGCACATTTTATCATTATGTCATGATTCTCTTGTAGATTTAATTCTCTTGTGGTAAGATATTAAACCATAAAATGACCAGCAGCTGTGAAATGAAAATGCTTGACGACAGTAGTTTGTTAGTACCTGGTAGGATACAGGACCAGCAAAATGGTTGATACCAAACTCAGGGACCTGCATCTTTGGCTTCAGATATGCCTTGCTGGGTTTATGGTGCTGGTGGCACTTTTCCAGGAATGAGGAATCCGTTGCCTGGTGAAAATAGAACACTCAACGTTAGAGTAATGATCATGGTTGATCAGTTAATGATAATTATGACAACAGTGATGATGATGATAATGATGA